AGAAAGCCAAGAATCAATGTTTAAGATTGATTCAAAAATATTGAACCAATGAACAAACACAATCACCGACAATATATTGACCCCCATGATTACAAAACTCAAGAATCTCACTCGGTTTGTTTGAATGTCATAAAAAATAATTTTGATAAGTTTAGAATTAATTTAATGAAAAATAAGAAAGGAATAATACCTTTTCAATTAGTCTCTCAATTTATGCGTTCGTACAATGAAAATAATAATCATATTTATATGGAATCCATAAAACACTAGTAAAAACGAATTAAACTCTAAAAATAACAAAATATATCACAAAATAGAGTTTTAACTAAAATAGAAGATTGTGCGAAATTTGAAAAATTTGCGACCGAAAATATACTATGCGGTCGCATAGACCATCCGAGCTCATCCACTGTGGGTTCGGTAAAGGGGCATGCGACTGACTGCATGCCTGTTCCTTTCAACTTCTCCGTCCATTGTTTAAATCAAGTTGCTCCACTTCGTTTCATCTTTCATACCCAATATGAAACTTGTTCTTTTGCATGTCGTGATCAATGTTTCGTCCACCGTGGCTTGAGCAAGTAGTCTCATTACTTCTTTGACCCGTTTCCCATGCGACCTAGTCATAGACCATTTTTCAACGATCAATGAATCCTTGCCCGAACTTTTCATCGTATTATGGATCACGTCATCATGTTAATCAACTATATGAGCAGCTACATGAGTATGCTCTACTATTGTTTCTTTTGAGGATTCTTAGTATCAAAAATTGTACTGCGGACTACGACGATCCACCTGCTGAATACCTTGGTCGCATCTCTCCTTTAGTATAACTCTCTGCATTTAATGCAAATGATGATATAGATAAACCTACGTAGCAAAGCAGGCACTTGAGCAATTATGAAACAACTTGTATGAGAAACTAGAAATGATTATTAGTTTGGGCACACGACAAATCAGAATGATATCTAAAGGCTATGGGACGGTAGATCACACCCGACTTTCTTTAAAGTTTCCATTTCCATAATCATAACCATAATGATAGAAACTGAATTAAGAATTAATGTTAAAAAAATTCTTGAGCGAAGACGTTATTGTCTTAGTGAAGCCAATGCATTATGATATTACATGATTAAGAAAGGAAATATGATAAATTACATTCAGAATTTGGCTGGCGGAGAACAAACTGTCGTCAGCAGAAGCGATTATGGAACACCAAGCTGAGAGTTAAATTGACACATTTATGAATATATACAGATTGAAGAAAGACTAGCATCAAAATGTAAAATTCCTTAATCAGCTGAGTTCCTAACTTTGTGTTTTTTTTCCTCAGTTTGTTTGTACCGGGAAACTAGACTAAAAACCCGAAAAAGGAACCACCTACCACCTCTCTCATCAAATATTCATCTTCAGTATGATGTTGTTCACATTTCCATCCTGTGATTTGCCCAATGCAGCAACCTTAGCTCGGTAAGCGGCTGAAGCAGCGACTGATACAGCAGTCTTTACCCTCTCTCCCTGAGGAAGCTCACTAGCTTCACTAATAGAGCCATATCTCAGTTCAGCCGGAGGAATAAAACAGTCCATGGATAAACCGGGAACATTGAATGCAACTTCCTCAATGCTCCATGCTTCTTCCATCCGGGTTTTGGTGTGGCTCATGGCTGTCTCACCAAACCTGAAAAGGGTAACCACTGATCGGCCCGAGTGAGCAATCATGATCCCCTCAACAGGTCTGTAATCTTCAAGAAATGAATTGATTGTTGTCTCCCAGTATACAGCATCACCTCCATTGCTCTGGATGCGAGTCAAATGGGAGTCTTCCAAATGCACAAGAAGCCCTGTTTTCTGGCTAAAATAACCAAATAAGACATGCCTTATGATCTCTGCAGGTCCTTCGCTCCTTGCTTTTAATGTATGAGGATCAGCACAAAGTTTGAGAATGAAGCAATCCTCTCCATTAATTTTCTTCTCGCCAGTACATCTTGCATTGGCAAACATGTTGGCCGTTGTCCTTGGATCAAGACCCTACAAGTCAAAAGCAGGTCGTTCACTAATTTCTACCAATGGGAATATATAACGGTATGCATCATTATTTACAAGAAAGTTAACCTGAAGGGCACGACGTAAAGGCCTAACTGGCCCTTTGGCTGCATGAGCACCAAGCCAGGGAGTATGCCTCCACACAAGTTTTCCATTACAACCAGCATGAACTTTGCTGCCTCCAAGTGCAAGCTCAACATACCACATGTCAGGATTCATTTGCCAGAGAACAAATCCACCCGACTCTGATGCTTTGGACGAATTTCTGCTCTTTATAACCTTTGTTGCTGTCTCTATATCAGATGCCATCATTTTCACCTTCCCCATGGCATAAGCATTGTGAATCGAGTTCTGAAGCTTCTGCCCCCCAGATGCTGCTAGGTACTGCTGCAATATGTACTGGGCAGACGACGTTTCCTGAAAATTTCCCAGAAAATATAATTATATTCCTCAACATTTTATTAACATAAACAAATAACAGAAATTCCAAAGAGGACCACCATGTGCAACATAAACTTTAATTAATGAGCATACGACTGTTCACCAACCAAAATTTGTGTTCAACAATCTCCATCCCAAAAGCCTCGTTTTATTCTTCATTTTTTCTATATTCCTTTTCGGTTCGGTTCCCATTTAATAGCTTTAATTCAGTATACATTAATAAGCGTAAAATTTACGTGATATGCTATTAAATGCAACAAATTGGCGAAATATTTTACGGCACGCAAGTCTATCTACCATATATGCAGAAAGAAACTGAGACCTCAAACAAACATTAACATTAAAAAAGAGAATTTTCACAAACAAGAAAACCCACTTCATTGCATTAGACTTTGAGAAACGGAATTATATTTCCAAAAAAAAAATATCAACAACTTCAAATTGCTACTGGAAACTGGAAAAATCTGAATTGAAGAAAAAATCTGGGTAAGTAGTAAGAGAAAGAGGGAAATAGAAGCAACTAACAATGGGAGTGTCTTTAATGCTGAGATGGGGTAAGGGGTCGTTGTTGCTAACGTGCACGGGGGCGAGCGGCGCACCCAAGACGCCGAGCAGCAGTCTCAGATCCGACCTCGAAAAACTCGGCCCAGAAGTAGAGACGGAGGGAGCCCGACACAACCAGTGGCCCCACTTTTCGTTTCTCGGGTCAGTACTTTCCGACCCGTTCGGATCCGGACCCTCCCTCAAAGGCGAAAGCGTCTCAACTGCTGGCCTCAAACTACCGGATCTTGAAATCAAGATTTCAGGAGGGCCTAAACTGCTACCTCTCCTCCGCCTGAGAAGGCCAGAACCCGACGGAGACGGGCTCCTCCCCCTCCTGGACCGACCCGGAGAGAGGCCTCTCACTACTTCCTCTTTGAGAGCTGAGAAGAAGCCGGACTTTCTCTCCATACACAAAGCAATACCAATGAACTTTACCCACTAAAATGTTTACTCAGAAACACTCACTGAGTCAGCTACGGGCTTGATAGAGAGAGAAGCAGCGAAGAGAGAAATGGTGAAATGGCAGAAAGTGAGTGAACTAAAGTAGACTACGGAGGAGAGAGAATAAGGAAGAAGGGCATGACGTTACGAGGAAGCAAAACATTAGTCATTGTTTAGCATTTATACAGGAATTTTATTAGGACAACTTTATAACTTTTTTTCTTTTCTAGGAAATCCTAAGATAACTTTTTTTATTTACAATAATACCCTCACAATTTTTTTTTTGTGTTATTAGTTAATCTGATTGTACCAGAACTTTATTATTTAGATTTTTTTTTTCTTTCAAACTCGCATTCCCTCAATAAAATAATTTGTAAGTAAATTCAAAAAAAATCTATTTTTAACTAGACATTCGCCAAAAAAATATTATTTCAAAACTTATTTTTTTAAAAAAATTGGCTCAAACAGGAGATATCACTTGACACATCAACAAATCATTTCTTTTTAGCAAATGACAACACATTTTTTGATAGTGAGACACATTAATAAAAAGATAGTTGTGTTTGTGGCCTTTAAATTAATTTTTTTTATATACTCATTTTCAACCACAAATTCAAGTAAAAAAATATTTTACACGTAAATTCAAAAATATTTTATACTTTTTAACTATGTATTCTCTAAAAATTCACTATTCAAAACAGTAATTTTGATAAATAATGGCCCCTAAAACAATTTAATGAGGAGTACCATTTGACTAGAGGATATTGATACAAAAAGGGAAAGAGTATATATATTTTAGGGTATTTTCCTAGGTGTTTATAAATACTTTAGTCAAAAAAATACTTCTTATTATACAACTTTTTATTCACAATTTTTTTATCAGGCCCATGGTATTACTGCTCTTATACCACTCATTTACATTTACTCAAGCAGCTTGTCAGATATATTCTCACGAGTGCAACGAATGCAAATAAGCAAAGATGGCAATGAACCCATTGGTTCGAGCAAACAAGCCTTCAACAAATTATTGTGGATCCATTTGTGAATTATGATGAAATATCTAGAACATGTATTCTAATTTGTATAGTATAGACTCTATAGTAAGTAAGTAAACAAAGAGTATGGAAACAAAGTATAAGATTGTAATTGTAAATTTGTAGTGTGATAATTGATATTGAATAATTGAAATTAAAAGTAGAATGTAGTACATTGTAGAATGTGGAAGAGAGTAAGAATTATCGTTGATGTGTGAGATTTTTTTGAAATGGATTGGAGTATTTATAAAGGAAAAAATAAGGGTTAAAAAAAAAGTGGTCAAAACGGTCACTTTTGTAAATTTAGTCACTTTTTTTAAGAAGTGACTGTTTTTGTCATTGTAGTGGTGAGCCACGAGCTCAGGCTCTTAGCTCGCCACCGCATGAGCCCACGAGCCAGTAGATTCAAGCGAGCAAGCTCATTCTGTTCATGCTCGAGCTCGTATAAGTATGAACTAAGTAGCCCACGAGCCGATTTTTGACAAGCCAGTGGCCAAGGCAACGAGCCGCTCAACTCGTTTAACATCCCTAGGTGGAAGAGTAAACAATTTTCTTTCGGGTAAATTGCACATAGAGCCCGAACTTTTCTTAAGAATGGCACCTATTATTTATTGTACTTATGTGTAACCTTTTAAATTGTGGCATATCCTCAACTAATAGAAGACATATATTTGATCGTTAGGCCGTCAACTATTATTCGGACAAAATAGAATTTTGAATAATGATTTTTAAAAGAATGTGTTGTTAAAAGTCGCAGAAAAAATTTGAATTTACGTGTAAAATATTGTGTGAATATGTAGTTAAAAACGAATATATAAAAAAAAAAAGTTTGAAAATAATGGTTGTTAAAAGAAATTAAATAAACTCGTGACATATGATATGCCAGATATGGTAATGAAAGGGTAAAATTGTCCAAAAAAAATCTTTATTCCAAAAAATCAAACTTCGATTGGGACAAACACAAATGGCAATAGCTGTGCACTTATAGGAAATACAGTCACATTTTGCGCCTTTTTTGTTTCGTCCTCTTGTATTTGCGCGACCCGACCGCATTTAACTTATTTGCAATGGAATAAGGGTTAGTTTGGTATGAGTTTTCACTTTTACTTCTACTTTTGTTCTCCGTGAAAATTATTTTTTGAGTAAACTATCTTAATTTTTATTTGAAACTGACTTTTAAAAGAATTTCCTATTTCGAAAGTATGCTTTCTTTAAAAAAATTTCTCACTAGAAGAAACACTATTCAAAAAATTAGTCAAACAAATACAAATGTAACTTTTGGATTTTAAAAACTCCTGTAACATTTCAAAAACCATGTCGAACGGGCTCTAAATATATTTAGTCCTTGTTTGACAACCATTATTTTCAAACTTTTGTTTTCTCAATACTCATTTTTAATCACATTCACATAATAAAACATTCTATACTTGGAAATTACGCAGTTCGATCCCAATAATACCTAGAGGGGGTGAATATGTATTATATGCAGAATTAAAAATATTTTACGAATTAAACAGCAATATGTGACTTTTTAATTCTGATATAAATGATTAAACAAGCAAGTCATTTTAGTCCTAAGTTTGAATACTGCAGTATGTGATCAATCAAATAATGAACACAGTAAATCAACACCATAATGATCACGAACAAACCCAATTGGGAAAAAACTCTGGTCACTTTGTCAATCAATAATTCACTATAAAAGATGTGTAACTTACAGTCTATCAGCCAGAAGACGACATGTACTATCTGATCTCCTTACTGCAATTCCAACAGCTTTCCTGGATTATGTACTCATGCACCACTCCCAATTGCAGTTTCCAAAACTCTCATGATTCTGCTCTCCTGCAGCAACTCTTAATTTTGTGAAATCGTTTATCTCATGTGGAACCACGAATAACACCGCGTTCTTCACAGATTGGAACTCCAGTCAAACTTTCTCGATCTTCAGAACTCTGATCAAATGTAGAGGAACAACAGTTTGATATTTGAAGTATTAAACTGGTGTTTTTCTCTCCAAAACAAACTCACAAGATGAAGATTGAAAAAAGGAATTGAATCAATCTCTCTTAGATGTAGCTCTCTCAATGATCAACCTTACAATTTTTGTATAGAAATGTTTTGATATTTATATGTAGATAGAAAAACAAATGGGCTAGGGAAAAAACACAAAACAAAATTTTCCCGAATAAAGCTGTCGCTCGAGCGAAGGCAGGGCGGCAGTCAAGTGATGGAGTTTCTGTTTTTGTAGTTCGAGCCAAACGTAACGTCAGTCTAGCGAAAATCCGCGCCGTTTTCCACTTTTTGTCATTCACGAACCCTAGCCATAATAACCTTATTTTCAACGAATTTGCACATTATTCCTTGAACTTTTACTATATGTCAATTTCAGTCCTTTTGTTCACATAATCGTCAACTACAAATAATCTAAAACCTAACAGTACCTAAATCCAAATTTTTTTCTTATCTCGTGAAACAAGGAGTTAGACGAGTAAAATATCCAAATACAGTTATAGATATTTGAACGTCTAATGAATTATTTTTCAAGCAAAAACCTCAGTGGAAGTTAATCAACTTTATATTACTTTTGCACGAGTTTGTAATTTATTAAAATGTGTAGTGTTTAGATTACCAGTGAATATTTTTTGTTCATTTGACAGCAAAAGTTCATGTGCAAAACATATGAAATGATTTTATTATTTATTTATTTATTTATTTATTTTTGAAGGATGAACAAGGTAAATATAGAGAATTAAAATAAAAAAGTAAAGAAGGAATGAAGGAAAATAATTTAAAAAAAAAATCAATTTACACAACTCCACCCACCACCCCCAAGTTCAGAAGACAGAGAATACGTAACAATTTGATTACAATTTTCACTTTCCCATCGGTGGAATATTACGCTGATTGTTAGAGATTAAAATTCAAATTTTAATTTAAGCCAAAATCAATAATTAATTTTAATCACATATTTTATAGAACTCACAACTTTTCAATAACACATTTCATCAACTTTTATCAAAATTTATTAAAAAAATAATTTTCATCATTTTATAATTTATTGGTAGGAGTAGGAGGCTTGGTACTTTTGACTAAACAGGCTTGTATTCCAATCTTTGAATTTGGAGAAATGCGTTGTTAGGATAGAATGGGGAACAGCTTTTAGCGTATTTGATTTTTGTAGGTAAAGACGGTCCCTACCATTTTATACGTGCGGTTCCAATCAATGCGCCTATCACGGCTTCGATGTCAATTTTACTGGTCGCACCGTACAAAGGTTGGTAAAATGCATATTATTTTATGAATTTCCAAATACATTGTTGAGAGTTATTCCACCACTTTGTTTGAATTACGTAGGATGGTCGATTGAGTGTACTGACAAGGACGGATTCAAGAACTTAGTTAGGACTAAAACAATGATTAATCGACAATTTTGCTGGACGCCACTTGATGTATTACTTTTTTTCTATAGTCGAACATGTTGACAATTTGTCAATAATTCAATACTTCAAAAATCCAACTAAAAGATAGCAAAGAAACACATTCAACGTTAAGTTCACGAAACAACAATAATTAAGTACCAGGTCGACAAGACAATACAATTTCACACCTTTATTTCAAGCATATAATTTGAACCAAAAATATAAACAAATTATGACTCCGAGCTGCTAGTGGGCTGCCTTAACATTCAATTCAGTTTAATTTATCTATTACATTTCTCATTCTTCATATTTTCTCATTTTATCTCAATTTTATAATTCATCCATTACATATTTACATTCCGTCATCTATAGATTCTAATTACTACTATAATTCTATTTCATTTTTATACATTTCAATTATATTTCATATAAATGGATCTCAATTCTTATATTGATGGCTTGTTCGTTGGCAACTCACATATGACACCACAATCTCAATTTCATGATGAAT